GGCATGATTAGATCTTCGGCTTGACAAAAGCCACACTGTGTAGCTGGTTAGATGGGAGAGATGCAAAAATCATCAAACCACGTCAAAGCATAGTCTCGTCATAATGTGAGGGAGGAGACAATCTGTTAACCACAATGTGAACGTGTGTAGTGTAAGATATTGCACTCGTGTATCAATTTGCTATGTTCTACCATTAGTAGAAAAAGATGTGATATATCAAGTTACGCGGTGAAACAAAAAATTGTAAATTAAAGATGGTCACAAAGTTCTTCCCTGACTTTACGGAAATGGAGTGACGTTTGTGAAATCAATTGGCAAGGGCTAAATCAGTTTCAGTTTGAGCAAATCCCGAGGTTTCACGTTGATAACCGGGATTTGTTGTTTCATCCCGGTCGCCTAATTGGTCCAACAATGAAAAGAAGCAAAGGAATGAGGTTAGAAGCTGATTTCTAACACCAAGTCCCCTGCTTCGGGTTTCCATACACTTCAACCAGGGCTCGGTTTGACCACGTTTAGTTTTATTCCTACATCGAAAACATAGCACACCAAGGACGATGCAGCAAACTAATGATATTACTTGGACCTCAAATATTCTATATGTTAGGGTTTTATTATGGGAATTACTCACAAGTTCATGCTTTTCTTGTCCCCATAGTATATTTACATCATAGAATAGAATCTCGTCCAAAATTGAGAAAGTTCACATATTGTCCCGGGATTGGAGATAACATGTAATGTAGGCTTTAAATCTTTTTCGTTTACAGCTGTCAGTGTAGGAATTGAAGCTGTTTCATGGTTTCATCAATTCTGGGCATGGAAGATTTAACAGTCGTCGCGCAAACAAAATATGTTGGGAGAGCGTTTAAAGTGGTACACACGCGGATGGCAAAAGTTTGATACCGACGTTCCGGTCGACACTTCGGAAACGCTAATTAGAAATGATGTCCACTGAGGTGGATGTTGGGCGACAATGTGAGCATAGATGGTTTGGTTTCTGTAATATTCGTTACACCAAAATTAACTCTCCTCGAATTCGGTGATACTTAGAGAAATATAACCCCAGTGACTATACTCTCTTCCCATAGGTGAAGCAATGCACTCCCTTGACCCTCTTGATAGGATTTTTTTGGACGCTTGTGGTGATCCCAACCTGCGAGATAAAGCATACCCTGGAGCGACAAGTTACACCTTTAGGACAATTGAGATCAATCAAGCTTCACGGGTGACGTCAGCAAAGCGCATACGTACCATAACTTCTGGATTACATAACATAGGTCAATTGTGCCAGCCAATCAGAAACAGTGCGGCTCAAACAAACTGAACAACGGTAGAAATACTACAACGCAATTGGCAGAGGCTCAGATGACCAATGAGCTTGTTTGTATATATTACTTAATCATTCTTATTTAATTCAACAAACGAACTACTCCTCCTGTGGCCTTTTCCTCGGGTCTCGGTTGCGTGGGATATAGCTTGCCAGTGTGATCCAGTGCTTACGTGACGTCCGCGACTGCTAATCAGCGATTCGTATTCCGTGATTTGTATTCCGCGTTCATTGCGTACTACTTCTTCTATTACTACAATTACCACAACGCTCCAGCATCTTACGATCACTCTGTAGCTATTGGCTCCAGGCTTGCATGGCGTAATCTGTGTACGGTCGGATGCACGCTGATGGCAAACCTGAAAACAGTTCCGATTCAAACCGACCAGCTTTGTCGCAAAACAAATGCTGGTACGGGACTAAATCACTAGACCAGTTAGGTACGTCCAATTGCCAGGACTGCATAAATAAGTTGGCCTCGAAAACTGGGGCATGCTGCTTTTATTAAGCCTCCCGTTTCGTTGTCTGACAATTTTACCCGTCAGCAAGTATTAGAAATGTTTTCATACCCCAGGATCGAGACCAGAAGTGAACGCTGAGGAACTTTGAATATAAAGAAGCCTTTATCAAGGGTCTGAGTATATCCATTAACCCTATCGCTATTTGAATATTTCTCATTACAGAACAAATCAATCCGGTTGGCTGATAAGGAGAGTGCAACTTTCGAGAAAAAAAATGGTTGATCTAAGGAATGCATAAATTTGAAAATTTGGTCAACTTCATAGCTTCAGTTATCTTAACCAATTTCATCACAGCGAGGGAGAACCACATTTCAGCAGGATAACACGAAATCATTTATTTCGAGTACTCTCAATCAGCTGCGTACATACAATGACAATCAAGTCTTTTGGGATCATAAGTAAACAACAACACCATCGTCTATTTCAGTTGCCTGAAGTCTCCGCCATTCGACGGCTTGAACCAAATTTGTGTAAACAGTTAAACTTTGTGGCCTGGTTGGACTGATCACCGTCATGTGTTCACTCGCCGTGGTTAACTGTGTGACCTTTGCCCTTGTCCTATGATTGGCCCAGTGGGTGTTCATTTGTCCGGTAACCTATACTGTCTTTGTTGTTGTTCAGCCTTGATTTTTATTGTACGTATGCAGCTGGTTGAGAGTACTCGAAATAAATGATTTCATGTTATCCTGTTTAAATGTGGTTCTTCCTCGCCGTGATGAAATACTCCAACTTCTTTGAGGTAAAATGGAACTTGAATTTATCAAAACTCAGACTACAAAAGTTGATTTCCGGTTGAGATTCTCATTTTACCACGAATACTAATTAGTTTAATTTAAAAGGTTATTCGTCGTGTATATGGCAAATGAAACGTGAACTGAAAAGCTAGGAAGCACTGGACAGCTGTTTCGACCCGTTTGGGTCTCATCAGCAGTGCGAATCCATCGACCCCACTGGGGATCGAACCCGGGACTTCATGGGCAGAACGCAAGTTTAATTTAGTTTAAATCCAAATGCCAGACCCAGACCCAATCAAAATACCTCTCAACTCTACGGTGCTCAATGATACAGCAGCAAGCTTTGGTGACCAATTTCGTTCCAAATACTAGGTTGATGCAAAAATAAAAGT